TTTCACAGTATTTTTATAAAAATTTCAGCTTGTAAACTGACGCTAAAGTGGAAATTTACAAAACCTGTGTGGACTTATCTTGATAGAATTCTTGAATACTAAACTAATCGCAATATTTTCTCAATTAACTATTTAGACGACGAAATTGTCTAACTATTTATGCCTATAACATATTTGTAGTATTACTGGTTATTGATTGTAACGAGTTGAAAAAGTACTGTTTTTGCGCCAAACGGCGTAAACGCTCTTAAGTAAGCTTGCTAAACGATACTTAATCACACCAGCAAGCTCTGTTTATTCAGAAAGAATATTTTCCGAGGCAGGTTTAATTTACGAGGAAAAACCAAACCGACTTGCTGCCGAACGTGCAGAAAAAAAATTTTTTTTGCACCACAATCTGCCTCTGTTGGATTTTAAATATTAATTAAAAAGCCTAACTTAATTTCATGAATATGATAGGCACAGGTACATATTACAAATAATAATTGATATTGTGTATTGTTTTATTCCGTATTTCCGACCACGGGCTGGAAGACGTAGCGTGGGCAGGCCTCCTACTAGGTGGACCGACGATCTCGTAAAGGTCGCGGGAAGAGCCTGGATGCGGGCAGCGCAGGACCGTGCATTGTGGAAAACCTTGGAGGAGGCCTTTGTCCAGCAGTGGACGTCATTTGGCTGAAACGAACGAAAGTTTTTTTGTTCACGAAAAGTTTATTTTAGACGACTATTCGCCGAATGCCGAATAATACTAGCTACTGTTCGGTATTCGACGAATATAAAAAAAATTTCGAGTAATGCCGAATACCGAATAATAGCGATTATTCGCGGCAACTGTAACATTAACCATTAGTAGCAAAATTCAACAATTAGTTATTTTAACTAAGAATAAAAAAACTGGGCCTTAGTGATGCGACTGCAGTTGAAAAAGGGACTTTGCGATACGAATGTTTGGCTTCCAATAAAGTCTAACCAGTATAAATTGAGTAGTCCTGGGGGTCTAAACTGCTTTTTGGATAGGGAGACTGGGCAGTATATGGCCCAGACGATTTTTTGGACCGGTTCCCCCGCTTATACATAAATTATAACATCGAATTTATTTGACCAGGTTCCCCTCTCTTATACACATAAGAACAAAACATACTTATACACTTAGGCCCGATTTCTCGAACTTTTATCCGAGAATAACTCTGGTTAACTGGCACATTGACAGTTTCAGTATGGGAAATATATGTCGAAATCGACGATTTATTCTGAGATTAATATTTACTCTTGTTTGGACGAATCCACCCTTAAGAACAAAACATATTATGTAGTTGGTACGCAAGTGCCTTTCTCTGTCTTTCCCCCTATCTTGGTTTGGTACTGATTGGGGGCATTTTACACTAACACCACCACTCAATAAATTCCTCTTATCTCCCAGAATCAGATCCTGGGTGGCAGCCTGCAGGACCTGCTGGCGCCTCCACAGCGGCTGATCAAGGCCAAGTCTGAGAGCTCCGTGGCTTCGCTGTGCAGTGCTGCCACGGTCTTGTCCGCCAGCCACGACCATGACGGTAAGGGACGGTACCCATTGACCGGCGCGCGTCGGAGCGCCCTTACACGGCCGTAAAGAAAATAGTATTTTATTAACAGTTCTTAGAGTCGTAATGAGGGCTATCGTTTTAGCGCTCACCAGTTAGCGCCACTGTAGAGTAAGGTCCTGTCACTTGCTAGTAGCGAAGACAGTGGCGCCAACTTGTGAGCGCTAAAGTGGTAGGAGGACTATCGCATTTGCACTCATCAAGATGGCGCCACTGTAGAGTAAGGTCCTGTCAATCGCCAGGGGTGCCAACTGTTAAGTATAAAAACGATAGCCCTCATTGAAAGAAAGAAAGAAAGAAAGACACATTTATTACAATGGACATCACACAAATACAGGCAATTACATAGACATGACAGTGGCACATAATAATGGAAGAAGAAAAAATAAAAACAAGAGTAAACTGAGCAGTGCCACCCATTCACCAACAAGATGCCCACTGCAACGGGACCCCACTCATCATATGCCGTGGCCCACGGTGACGAAGGCCCGGCGCTGGTTTTCAGTGTGCCCCATGCCGATTTATTGCTTACAACTGATAACTGACATTTCAATCCGGACGGATGCGAGAGCATGCGTCGGAAGCCGGTCGGCTCCGAGCGTATTCCAGCGGACACGCGGCATTCCACGCAAATTCGCATTTTTGACTGAACGGACGCTGTGCTGCGCGCCGATTCGCGCCGGGCAATGTGAATCCTGCCTAAGGCCTGGGCCTTAGGCCCAGAACACACGGTGAAACGCAATTGCAACGAAACTGCAACTTCTAGTTACTTTTGAGTTGCATCTAAGTTTCTGCCATAGCGTCCGTTGAGAGACTCAGACCACACATGAGGCGACCAGTTTGAATCCGGTTTGAACTGGTCAAGTTGCAGTTTCGTTGCAGTTGCGTTTCACCGTGTGTTCTGGGCCTAAGAGTTCAGTTGGAACCGGTCGAGTCACATCGACGCTTTGGTACGGACGGGGCGAACGAGGGGAGGTGTGCGGGTGAGAGCGAGAGAGTTGCATCCAGTGAGGTGTGTATTCCAGGAAGCTGAAGTGGCAATGGGCAAGGCACATAGTACGCAGAACTTACGGCCGATGGGGCAGCTAGGTTCTGGGGTGGAGGCCGCGTACCGGAAAACGCAGCGTGGGACGTCCACCCGCAAGGTGGACCGACGACATTATGCAGTTAGCAGGGAAGCGCAGGCCGCTACCAATCGATCAACGTGGAAAACATTGGGGGAGGCCTATGTTCAGCAGTGGCCGTCCTATGGCTGAAATGTGCTCGGGTTGTAATTTTAGTTAAAATGTTTGTTTTGTAACCAAAGCCCTTTAAGGGGCTTATTTCTGCACATTAGTTGTATTGTTTTTAATGATTTCTATTGCGACAAGTATTCCCGTAAGCAGGTTTCACACGATAACCCGCTCGACACTCGAGGCGAACTCAAATTCGAAGTGTTTCAATCTTTTTATGTAGATAGTGTGATATATTGTTATCGATTGCACAAAGATTATCGCAGAAAGATTAGACAGATTGCTATCGCAATTTCTAAGATGGAATTATCACTTTTTTTTAGAGCGGAGACATTTTACTGGCAAATGTTTTGTTTTGCCTACTTAGTACCAAAAAAACATCTTTTTCTCTTTCTATTACAGAGTTCTGCACAGACGACCTGGAAAGGAACCGGTCGAGGTCTTTGGAGCCGCTAAGTGGGCTGGCGATGTGGAGCGACCACATCGAGTACATACAACTGCTGAAGGAAGACCGGGGGCTCGGCTTCTCTATATTGGACTACTTGGTGAGTGATCAACACAAGCAAAAACACAAAACAAAGTATGGAAAAGGTATCGTACGTTCGTTCGTTTGTTTCAGCCAAATGACGTCCACTGCTGGACAAAGGCCTCCTCCAAGGTTTTCCACAATGCACGGTCCTGCGCTGCCCGCATCCAGGCTCTTCCCGCGACCTTTACCAGATCGTCGGTCCACCTAGTAGGAGGCCTGCCCACGCTACGTCTTCTGGCCCGTGGTCACCACTCGAGAACTTTCCTGCCCCAACGGCCATCGTCTCCTCTACGAGCTATGTGCCCCGCCCACTGCCACTTGATTTTAGCAATTCTGCGAGCTATGTCGGTCACTTTGGTTCTCCTGTGGATCTCCTCATTTCTGATTCGATCACGCAGGGAAACTCCAAGCATGGCCCGCTCCATCGCCCTTTGGGTGACCTTGAGCCTTCTTATGAGGCCCATAGTAAGCGACCACGTTTCAGATCCATATACCATCACTGGCAGCACACACTGCTCGAAGACTTTTGTCTTGAGTACCGGGTATACCGGAGTAGGTATAGCCAGCGTCAAATAGTTCATTACACCCACAGTGGCCAAAAAGTTGATAATTCAAATTGTAAGAAAGATATGTTGTGAACTTTTTGGCAGTAGCCAAAAACTATTTTGCCGCTGATTGTAGGACACCTCAACACAAAATATCGAATCCTAACTTCGCGCTACTTAGTTGGTGGCACCAAGTATACTAGTGTTGGTGTACAGCGACAGCCTCCAAGCTCAATATTCCACTGTGTGCTAAGAAGGGGCCTGCTAAGCTTAGTGTTTCTTAACGAGATCGAATCAGAAATGAGGAGACCCGTAAACGTAACCGAACGGCTAATAAGTTAAGTAAATTATCACTGGGTAGCCTAAAGCACAGAGAACCTTAGAAAAAGCAGAAATAGGTGAGTTTCTTGTGCTTCTAAGTTCAGTACTGGCCCATTGTTGCGAAACGAAGGTTTAAAGTAATATTGAAGCGTGTGAAAGCGCTTTTTAAAAGTCTCTTTACAGAACACTAGGTTTCCGCCCGCGGCTTCGCGCGCGTGGACCCCTGAACCCTACGTTTTTCCAAAATAAAATTTAGACTATGTTACTCGTGGATAATGTAGCTTTCGAATGGTGAAAGAATTTTTTAAATCGGCCCAGTACTTTTTGAGCCTATTCATTACAAACATACAAAAATGGGTACAAATCTTTCCTCTTTATAATATTAGTATAGATAAATGACTTTTATGACATTTTGGTTCTTCATTTCACCAGGATCCGTCCGAGCCTGGTAGTTCAGTGATCGTGGTCCGGTCGGTGGTGGGCGGCGGCGCGGCGGCCAGCGACGGCCGCCTGCAGCCCGGCGACCGGCTCATCTCCGTCAATGGCCTGGACGTGTCGCGGAGCCCGCTCGCTGCAGCTGTGAGCGCTATCAAGAGCGCGCCCAAAGGTAACCTTATACAACAAGCAGGACTAACACTCTAGGTCTAGAAGTGTCACAGAGCCCCTTCGCTGCTGCTGTTAGCGCTAATAAGAGCGCGCCGAAAGGTACTTTCTTACATTTCACACCTATCAACAGATTTGAGCCGAGGAGTATGAATGCTCTCCGCGACTGGTAGCGTCTCTTGTTTAAGCCTAAAGTGTTGCTTTAATTTAGCACACTAATCACGAGTCTAGACACAATAATATGTGCTAATAAGTTTTGGCGCGCCTAAAGGTAATCTTACCACCACAACACAGCAACAGAGCACCTCAATACTTAGGACTAACACACCTGTCAATAGAGTCGAGTGATCTATACTCGAGTGCCTGGGTTAGACGTGTCGAGGAGCCCCCTCGCTGCGGCCGTTAGCGCTATCAAGAGCGCGCCCAAAGGTAATCTTACTTAGAACGGTCTGCTTCTCGCGGCCAGCAACGGCTCTTGAATCCTGAACGTATTGTTTTAACGCACTCTGCAAACGCAATTGAGCTAAGCGACCGGCTCATCTCTGTGAATGGCCTGGACGTGTCGCTAACGCACTTCTGTCAAAATACTCCATGTGTTGTGGCGTGAAATCCACTTCCCGCCGCTGCAGCGCTAAAGGTATTGTTTTAACGCACTATGCTAACGCACATGAGATAAGTGACCGGCTCATCTCCGTCAACGGGCTTGATTTGTCTCGGAGTCCCCTCGCTTGCTTCTGTCGCGGTCGGTGCTATTAAGAGCGCGCCGAAAGGTTATACAACAACACGTAACGCACTGATTCCGATGTGCGCGAAGACCATTTTCCGTTTCTTATGCAGCGTCACTTGATTCTTATTGTTTTAGCACATTAATCAATAAATATATTGTTTTGGTGCTCTGAAACTAGGTAATCACTGTAATCATTGAGCTTGGAGTGAACAGTTTATGAGATTTAAATAAACACTAGCAATAACTAAACAAATAAACTCAACCTTGAAAACTGTATTTGTAAGAACCTGATAAGGGTTATCGTAAATCAAATAAATAAGTCTGTATTTGATTGAAGTAAAGTCATAATATTGTTCATTTGTGTAACATTAACCATTTAATCATAGTGAATAGAGCTATACAAGTCTGTTTTAACAGATTTTTTAGTAATAAAGGAGACAAAACAGTGATTTTAAAACGATATGACACAGTTTATCAGGTATTTAATATTATAACTGTGTCAGTTATCTATAAAATAGAGCACTCTTTTTATCTTGCGTTTTCCATTTTGTTTTGTGTTATTGCTCTTTATGTGGTTTATTTGTTTTGACTTCAAGTCAGTAACCACCGTGTGGTTCTGGCAGGAAGAATAGGGACCACCCTCACATTCGATTTTAGATTGGGGAAGTATTTTTTTGCTTTTGTTATAGTCGCTTCTATGGGAGAAAAAATACTTATGTGAACATAAGTCAGGCTTTCCAAACAAGGCCAAAGTGAAGAGTGTAGATCAAGTCCTCCATTTTGCTATGGTAAATTGTAGAGTTTATGAGAGAGATGGGGTAGCCTAGAGAAGGCGCTGGATGCAGGACGCCACCAACCGGACGATGTGGAAGTCATTGGGGGAGGCCTATGTTTAGCAGTGGACGTCCTGTGGCTGAAATGATGATGATGATGAAATTGTAGTAGTGCTCCTTCATTGGAGATTATATGACCTGAAGATGATGATGAAGTAGCTAATTATAAACTCTCCTTTGTTCCAGGAATTGTTACGATAGGTATCGCAAAACCTCTTCCCTGCAGTACCGTAGTGGGCGGAGAGAAAGCCAACGGACACAGTATGCAGAGTAGTCAGGTATGTACATTATTTACTTTAAATCTAATATACATAAAATATATGTAATTTCAATTTGATTACTTACAATTTTTGAAATAAAAAAAAAATGAAAATGTGTTCGTACCTAACGGAACAATTAATATGGTTTTTTAATCCAAAACTTTTTATCGTGTATTTGAATTTAAATATGAATTATTTTAAAAAATATTCACAAAAATATTTTAATGAACAGACCAATCCCCTTTATTTTTTAAACGAAATACCCAAATTTTTATTTGTACAGTCAGATAGCATATCAGACGAAACATTTTGGTTCCGAAATCGTTCTTATTTCAACGTCATAAGACCCAAAGTGTAAGCTTGATGTGCCTGTACATCGCCGTATCGTGAAAATTTTACCGTGTTTTATTTTTGTTTGAAAATACGAGTATTCTGAAACTAAAATTGATACGTAATTATTCCTCTTACTAATAAAAACTGTCCAAAAAATATGTAATCACTGTTTTCTTTCTCTGTCTTTTGTTTTTTTGACAGTAGAAACAAAACACTGCGTACTATTTTTCCGTTTGACGTTTATATTGGTGAGGAGAATATACATTATACAAATTCGTATAAGCCGTTTAAGTGTTGTGTATATTGTACACTGAGGGGACAGTATCTGACAGTAAGTTATTTTTAAGCTTTTCTATACGCTTAGAGCAGTACTTACAATAATGTAGCATGCAATTTTTTACATATTTACATATTTTTCTTACTTAAACAAATAATTTTGTACAATAAAGGGAATAGAAAAAAAAATACCGCTCTAAGATAATATAATAATACTGTTGATTTTGTTTTTGATGTTTCTGTTGTGATCTCCCTTTAGTGTACAATACTTACGAATGCATGCCGTTTGTCTGATTAGAATGTTAATTAGCTAATCGTGATTTTCAGTAAAAAATAATGAAGCTGTGGTATGCTAGAAGTAAAACTTCAGAATAAAAAAAATCGAAGATGATTGGGAAAGTATGAATGTATTTTTTTTTTGGAATATCGTTTATATCATAAAACACCTGTAAAGATAGTTTAAGTTGGTGAAAATAAATAAACAAACATCAACGAAAAAAAATCGTGTAAGTAAAAAATTGGTACTTTATAGCAGAGCAGAAAAAAATTAAGATACATAATGCCAACATCAAAATGAAGAAGTATTTTACATAATTTTAATGCAAAATCTGGTCCACAGATATCGACAGGTTTTCCTTCGAAACATTTTGAAAATTGACCTTTTTATAAGTTTTTTTTACTAAAAGATTCTAAGCACACCACAGCTTACATGAATGTACTAACTCAGCATAGGCAAACTTTTTAAAATAAATACTAAACTGAAAGTTACGCAATAACTTCACAAACGAAACCACAAACTATTCCGCTCTCTTTCTTCCAGAAACTGGAGTACTTCACGAAAATCCTGCGCCTTATCATGTCTCTCCACCGCGACATCTTGGAACTCCAGCTTCAGTGTTCCCAGGACTACGACCCTGCGCCTCCTTTGCCATCCCCCTTTAGAGTCCCCCCTAAGATTAAAGCAGAGATCACCATGAAATGACAGGAGGAAAAACTGAGGTATTCGGTCACAGTCGAAGTGCCGGATGGCGCGCGGTCCGATGACGGGCCGAAGTGCGAGGAAACGAAGATTTGAAATGGAACGCAAATGGAACTGTTACGGAGTGAACTGATTGAAACTGAAGGATATTAGAAGTGATGGATACTGCGGATGATCAGAATTGTATTCCTTAAAGGTAAAGTAGATGCTGTATTTAAAAACAAACAATCTAAAGGAACTAAAGCAAACTCTAATTCTATGTAGTTGAAGTCTAAGGAGGCAATTCTGCTAGCCTGTTTCTAACAAGGCCTATTATACAGGGTGTTAGGTAAATGGGTATATGAGCCGACACTAACCCATGTTAACATGGGCATATAAATGGTATGGTGAAGTCAGAAAATTGATATCTTCATTTTAATTATTTTAATTTTCATACAAATCGGATTTTATAAAATTTATTTTACATGAAAATTAAAAAAAATAAATTGATGATATCAAAGAAGAACGGTCACGCCCCATACAAAAAAAACCCAGACCCGACAGAAACGAGACATATCTCAGTTTTTTTTGTCATGTCTGGCTCCGGCTGTATCTCCAGGTCACCTAGATACATTCCATAGCAGCTGTAATAGACATTTAGGTACATACATTTGAATGATCAAACGAACTTACCAAGTGAAGTTCGATCTAAATTATCCTGTTTTCGCCGAAGAGATTTATTTTACCATGTAGTACCCCTGTACGACAACCCAATCCGCACACAATATTCAGCGTAGTAGTATTAAAAAACAAAAGAGCGGGCAACCCCACCCCTACCACGCTGTGGGCTCGGTGTCCGAGCGGTCTCATTATATTTAGAGAAGAGATGACATTGACGTTTAC